TATGGAGGACAGAGGGTATGGAGGATGTTTTGGTTTGGGGTTTTGTTTGGTTTTTTAATTAGATACCATCCCACTAAGCAAAGCAAAACTCCAACTGCAGTCACCACAGCGTGAGCAGTTTTTAATGGAGTACATCTGAAAAAAACCCCAAACCCCAGTACCAAAGATCAATGCTATCAAAGATGATTTATTGCACGGGCTTAATAGTCATTAGACCTTTTTATGAGTACATGTGCACAAAATTTGTATTAATCTAACAAGTTTACTCCTAATGACAGGCATGAATTTTATTCTGGCTTTTCTCTTTGTCAGCTCCCTGCTCCTAAAGGTGTGGGATGGCCTATGAGGCAAATTAATATTCAATCACCCAAAGGTCCATAATCACTGCTGCTGGCAATCTGTAACAGCACAGTTTTCAAAGAATTCAGAACAAAAAAGCCACAGCTTACTCTGGAGACCAGGTTAGTGTAATATGCTACTGGCCTTAAAAAGGTTTGGAAACGTAGCTATTTCCCATAAGAAAAGACAACCAAGTACACGCTTACACATGCTGCATTAGAAATGAAATCAATTCATCAATGTTGGCACCAGCGGAAAAGACAGGAACATTGTAGGTTAGCTTCTGCAGCAACTGAATACTCTGAGGAAATAAAAACATATTCACAGATGTCTTTCCTATAGCATATCACTGAAGACTGTTACAAGTTACAAAGCTGAAACTGAAAGAACAAATAACAAGACACCACCACTAAATTAATTTTCAGACTCTCTAATGTTAACATAACAATTACATAAACTGCTGCAAGCACAATGAGTAATGTCCTACCACACTGATCCACTCAGTAAAAGCCCAAACAGATTAATACCATTTTATTTTGACAGAGAAGTTACCTTTAATCCATTTAGTTCTCCCCATTGCCTCATTAGCAAGTTCTCCATTCTGTCAGTGAGAAAGGGGCTTTTCCCTACTGGAAGATCTAGAAGTGACACCAAAATCCAACAAGTACCTTGCAACCTCTAACAGAAAGTATGTTTACAGGAAAACAGGCTTGCTGTAAAGACTGCAAACAGATCCAGTGGTAGTAAAGTCCTCCCTTCAGCATTCTTTGGGCCCATAACTGCATTAATATGAAGTTAATAGAGAATCGTAGACTGGCTTGGGTTGGAAGGGACCTTAAAGTTCATCCAGTTCTAACCCCCCACCACAGGCGGGGACACCTTCAACTAGATCAGTTTGCTCAAGGCCCCATCCAACCTGGCCTTGAACACCTTCTTTCATTCCTTCACAATTACATGACAAAGACGACCAGTGTCCATGCTTTTGTTATGGACATCAGGAGAAATAACTAAATACCTCAACTGAAAGTTACCTTCCTAGCCCTCAAGCAGTGATTTCTTGAAATAATTTAAAATACAGGGTAGCTTTTGTTTGGTCGGTTGCTGGTTTTGGTCTGTTTGTTGGTTTTTGGTTTTTCTTTAATTTAAGCAGGTGAGAAACACAAGCAGGATTAAAGAGAGAATACAAAGAACTCTACGCAGTATTATAATCCTGTTATACTAGCCTCACACAACAAATAAAACACACAGCTAAGATTAACTCTCCCTCAACACATTATTTCAGATAGCACTTTAGAAGAGCTTTTATATGCATACAGTACAATGCACTCTACATAATTATAGTCAAATATTATTAAGGATTAGTTCTTATTACCTGTAATAAGACTGGGTCGCTAAGACTAGTAGAACTTCGATGAACCACTCCTGCCAGCACGCTGGTCAGATTGTAGGTATCTTGAAGAGTTTCTCTAGTCTCATTGTCTAAAGCTAGAATTTAAGAATTATTAAAAGCAACACAAATCACCTATCTAACAGCAAAAGCAACAGGTGCATTGGCTACCAAGCTAAGCAGAAACAAGCAAGAGGCAGCAGAAGCTATTTTGTAATTGGGAAACTTGATGCATACAGGCCCAAGCCATTGGAGAGCCCAAACTGAAGCCCAGCAAACACTCCAATGAGAGAGGTAAACCTTACCTAGCTGTGACAGCAAAGTAACCACAGACAAGGTTAGAGATGGGCTTATATTAGCATCCTCAAGGAGTTCTACTAGGCAACTGAGACATTCACTTGGCAGAATCTGATTTGAAGCAAACAATCGTGTAAGCTTCAGTCCAGAGATAACCTGGAAATGAAAGGAGAAAACCAACCTTAATTACTCAACTGCAACAAAGTATTTAACACAAAAGCCAAAACACAGAGCTGTATTAAATACACTCTGCCCCATTTGCCAGGCTGAGAATGTAAACGCACTCTAACAGAACAATGAAGAAGGAGGGAAGAAGTCTGAAAAAAAACTGACTTTCATTGTTGTGGATGTGCTCCCTTTACTTTTGGAAAATAGCAAGTTTTCATTGAGATCATTCATAACACATTGGGGCTTCTTTTGTTTGCTTGCTTACAGCATTCATAGTAACAGCATCCTTTTCAATCTCACAGCTGTAGCAGAGCAACACCTGTGTATCTTCACGCATTGAACAGAATCAATGCCAGGTTATTCTTCCTACACGTGTTTTAGCATAGATAGAATACAGGGATTATTTGTTTTGAAAGAACAACCAAACAAATTGCAGACGTTTTGTAACCAGCCCTCAGCTCAGCCCAACAGCCTGCTTTCTAATGATGCAGACAGGAACCCAAAGGTGCTGCTCAGCAGGCAGGATAAGCAGTAACAGGCAGTGCTGCTTTGGGACCACTCAGTGCTCGAGACGAAAAAACAGCAGTTCAAGGAAGCCTATATAAGAAGATGCTGAAAATTATATCCCTGCACATCAGGTAATTGATAATAATAATAATAACAGTAATATACACATGGGATATGCAAGAATAATAGCTCTTAAACGGATACAAAGAAGAAATCTAGGCTGAACGCTAACTCTTACAGTTGCGCTTTAGCAATTAAACAAATAAGTCTATATTTGAGAAAGATACCTTGCAGATTAAGCAACTCAGTCAGTGTACCAATGTCTCACCATACCAAGCGTGCCCACTGCAAGGTTGCATGCAAGGCTTTACCTGGAGGTCCGGGAAATGGACAGGCCTCCCCTGAGCAACAAACACTTTTGAGCACATGCTCCATTAAACCAGCAAACCCCGGATACAAGACAGCCTTCAAACTCGGTTTTTAAGGTGTGAAAATAAATGATCCTCGGGAGTCAGCAACAGGGGATGGCGGGAGGAAAGTGTCTCATTAGGCCTGCTATACGCTTGGCTCATGCCCATGTAAGCATCCTGACACAAACAAAACCACCCCAAAACGCTATAAAAAATAACACAGCAACGGCCCAGGAACACTGCTAGAAACCGAACCGGCTCCTCTGTCCGACGGCCTCCCCCGGCCACCGGCTCCCCTCACAATGGCACGGAGCTTCCCTTTCTCCACACGCTAAACACCGGCGCCCGCAGGCAGCGGCCGCCACAAGCCGGCCAAGGCCCCGGCAGCTCCGGAGCCCGGGCTGCGGCCGACCAGCGAGGCCGGGACCCGAGAAGAGCGAAACAGCCCCCACAACCTAAGAGACACCACAGCCACCGCCATGTTCCCGTCCGCACCATCACCAACCCCCCACCCCGCTCCGCTCCAACCCCGGCCCCAGACCAGCACCGCCCTCACCTCCAGGCTCCGCTGCAGGAGCGCCGCGTTGGGAGCCGTCTTGGCAGCCCGATACTGCGTGGCTGCCAGGAGCAGGGACTTCATGCAGCCTGAAGCATCCATGGCGCCTCAGCTCCGCTCTCAGCGGCGCAAGCGACCAACGCAACTCGTATTTCCCGCCGCCGCCGCCATTTTGATGGCACCACCCACGGAATGGGCGAGGCCGCCGGGCCCGCGGGGCATGACGGGAGGACGCGGCGTCTGCCATCTTGCTTCCGGGCGGGGGGGGAGACGGGGAGCGCCGCCCAGAGGTAATGGCGGTAGCTTCTGTACTGTGGTAGAGATGCTCGTGTGTACAGTGCCTGGTGAATAAACCAACGTCTTCGTGCGGACAGGCGTGTAGAACTGCCGCCCCTCTTGAATCTACCACAGTTCATCAACATTAGAAGTACTTCAGACCATTTTGATGTCGCTGATTCTTCACGGCAGGGATTCAACGTGGCCTTTTGGCTTTAATTTTGTTCGTTTCAAAGTACAGGATAACACCGGTATTCCCTGACACTTCAATACTACCCACTTGTCCAACGGTGTGGTAACATGAGTCATGCACAAAATAAGAGACGTGAGGGGGTTTTAAGCATCATATTGATAGCAGGGAATAAACGTTGTGCCTGCTTCCTTCAGCAGTCATTGTGCTTGGTGAAGCACAACCATAGGAGTCAAAGTTTTTAGAACGGTGAAGCAGAATTGTAGGAGTTAACAGCTGCAAGGCAGAATTGTGGTAGATAAGATTCGTAACTTAACATCGAAGACATTCTTGTTTAAATAGGATCCAGAGAAAGAAAAGGAACAAAAGATAAGCAGAGCAACAAAACTTGCAAACCTGATAAGTTTCTGCTTTAAGATACATAAAACCAGCTTGTACCGAACCTGAGGTTTGCACAGGAGCTGAAACCCCACTGAGTCTGCGTGAAAGCAAGAGGTTACTCGCGGTGATGAAGAGGAACTACAGGCCTTCATCCTCACAACCCCCTAACGGCCACCACCAGGAGGCACTGCGCAGGCGCACCAATGGGACAAATGCCAGAAAACTAATTCTAATACTAGACGGGAATAGGTTTTGCATATGTATGAGGCGTGAAGCAATCACATGTTTATGGAATCATTATATGTAATATAAACAAAGTGAGTGGCAAAGGAAAGGCGCGCATGTTTTTGGAGGAGCGATCCCCCATGCGCCTCAGCGCTGAGTAAAAGCATACCTACTTTACAACTTCAACGACTTGTGGAGTCTACCCGCATATCAATATGGTGCCGAGGGAGTATTTGACATGTATGTTTTTATATCCACACATATCACTTCTGCTTTATGCACATTTGCTCGTTGCATTTATATTGCTGCTTCCTGACGGATTGTTCATTTTGGCAACAGACATCTTGGACAGTTTGCTAACTCAAAAGCCAAAGTACACGTCCATGCGCACAGATACCCTTCCCCAACATGTGTCTCTTATTAATTCTTTTATTGCTGAACAAAAATAGCTTGTACTGGACCTGCTGGAGAAAAACACAGCTGTGCCTGCTCCGACAGTCTGCAAAGGAGGAGATTAACTCGAGAGGTGTGGATCCACAGTGGAGAATGCCCAGCCTGGAGCTCTCCTCAGCTGATCCCCTGTGCTGCAGCGCAGCCTGGAACAACAGCTTCCAGAACTGCTGGGTCGAAGATCCGTCAGGGTAAGACCATGATGTAATCGCTCTCATCGATCTCTGTACAGCAGTGAAATGAAAGACGTGATTGCAATTGGGTCCTTGGAATGAGGGTAACCAGGGATCCCTTGTAAGCTAAGAATAAATGTTTTCCAGGGAACGTGAGGAGGAAGGATGTTGAACTTCTCTGTCCATGAAAGCTGGTCTCAGAGGACACTTTGCAACTATTCACCCCAAACCTGTCAATGGAATCATCTTAGAATCATAGAATAGTTAGGGTTGGAAAGGACCTTAAGATCATCCAGTTCCAACCCCCCTGCCATGGGCAGGGACACCTCACACTAAACCATGCCACCCAAGGCTCTGTCCAACCTGGCCTTGAACACTGCCAGGGATGGAGCATTCACAGCCTCCCTGGGCAACCCATTCCAGTGCCTCACCACCCTCACAGGAAAGAACTTTTCCCTTATATCCAATCTAAACTTCCCCTGTTTAAGTTTGAACCCGTTACCCCTTGTCCTATCACTACAGTCCCTAATGAAGAGTCCCTCCACAGCATCCTTATAGCCCCCCTTCAGATACTGGAAGGCTTAAATAAAACCCCCCAAACAAACCAAACCCGCCCCCAAAACAACAACAAAAAAGGCAGAGCTAAATTTCTCACCATCATAAACTACATCCTTTCCTGAATTGAACCTCTGGCTTCTGTGCGAGGCCTCTAGTTTCTTCACTGGGTAGCGGAGGTTTATTACTAGGCCTTGATTTGGCTTTTCATAATTGTATATGAGATCCTTTAATGTTCTGAAGACCTTCTCTGGTAAACCTTCAGAAGTCTGCAGAGGGAAAATAAAGCTTGTTTGCAAGTGCCCTTTCACATGGAGACACCTAAGTGAAAGGAAAGACAGGTTGTTTCTGGTTTACCAAGGGCTGTTTTGCACATCGATTTGGGGACAGAATGTTGCACTGTCCTTTAAACACTAGGAACACCTATTAATGTAGGGCACTAAGTGTCTAATCCCTCACCATCTTTTTTCTTATTTTATGGAAACAAAGATCAGTTTAAAATACTGTCTCCAGTTTGTGCTGCAGCAACCTACTACAGCAGTGTCAAAGAATGATGGCATTACAGGCTCCTCTCTGGTCTCAGAACACAGGTTCAGGGGCAACATATTTAGTTCTCCCTTAAAATAACGTTGTATTTAAATAACTATTTGGCAAGCAGAAGAACGTCCAAACATTTCACAAAACATCAGCATTGTCAAGCAAAGGAAGCGTGCAAAAGCCGTGGCCAGCTTTCACTCTTAGGCAGGAGTTTATTATCTGTCTGGCTTTGAGACTTGCATTGCAGACTCCTGAGGCCAAACACAAAGGGTGGCACTCCTGAGCGGGGGAACAGTGTTCTCACAAGCTGCTTTTGGATGTGTGGGTTCACAGAGCTGGACTGAACTGCTTCCGCAGCACAGCCCTGCAGTGATCCGTGCAGAGACTTGGCTTAGGAAAAGTGTGGATGTTTGCGGTTATGGCATTTGTCTTCTAAGTAACCATTATGCATGCTGAGGCTTTCCAGGAGGTGGCTAAACATCTGGCTCCCCATAGGAAGTAGTGACTAAACTCCTCCTATGCTTTGTTTGTATGCACAACTTTGCTTCACCAATTAAAACTGTCTTTTATCTTGATCCTCACCTTTAAGGAGTTTCCTCACCTTTGCTGTTCGAGTTCTCTTCCTCGCACCCTGCCCTGCTGGGGAGGGAGCAAGCAGCTGTGTGGGTGCTTAGCTGCTGATCAGCTCAAACCACCATACTCTAGGAAGTTTACAGCTGAATCTGACCCTTTAAAAACCCAACCAATATCCCCTTCACCATCAATACATTATTTCAGTCTATGGTGTTAGTAAGGTGAACCAATCTGACTTAAGAACTTGAAGAACAGAACTCTTCTTTCACATTCTTGGTAAAACCCTGTCAGGAAAATTTGGGTTGAAAACACTGGAAGTGTTTTAGTTATTAATCTGCTGATAGGCATGACAGCAAACTGCAGCAGAGTGGCTACAGTCCAAATAGATCTGTTTGTTGACAAAGCCTATTCTTCATAGGAAATTGTGTCTTTCATACTCAGTCAAAACCACTAATAAGCAAGAAATTACCAGCATATGAGAGCTTGGTGTATCCTTTATGGAGCGAGTTCTTCATTCCACTTAAATGCTGCTTAATTGTTGGCACTCCTCTTGGCTGTCCTACTACAAGCCGAGGAGTCAGCCAGCTTTTTAAGTGTTCTCTCACCATGCCAAGGGAATTGATGGATGCAGCCTGCTCTTACGCATTTGAGTGGCATTTTCTGTGGTCATCCCTTCAGGAGTCTCAGCATCACACAGAATTACAGATAGGTCCCTCTAAATCAAAAAGATCATTGCAATATTCCAAATCCGTATAAGATGCTGGGTGCAATGGCAGCGTTTTCAAATAGCAAAAGCTAATTAGGTACAGGAGCAAGAACCAAAAGTGATAGATTTTTCTTCAATGCTATCAAAAAGAAATGATCAAATCAGAAAGCAGCTGGTCAACAAGTAACAGATCCACTTAGATTGTAAGGGAATTCTACTTCTAAGCTCGTATGCAATCATGAGCATAACATTAAAAAGTCAAGAATTGAATAGAGAAGAAAGCAAACTTGAGAAAACTTGCTAAGGTAAATGTGTTCATGTATACTGATTCTTTAAATCAAGAAAATCTCATTTAGTGCAGTCTTTACAGACAACATAAGAGTTACTCACCTGTATTTTAAAGTATCCTTGCTGTGCCCTGAAGATACGGTAAGTGTAGATGCATTTTTCAAATCTGTGAAAAAACGTTGTTGCATGCATTATGCTTTTTATCAACTCTTAGACCACTGCAACTTGCTTAGTCTGCTACAGCTTATCCTGGCAGCCAGCTTTTGGTTTTGCTTGTATCTGAAAGAAAACTGCAATAGCATAAAGACACAAGAGCTATAACAGAGATCTCCTTAGCTACAAACCCAAAAGTGAGGTGCTCTTCCTCAGGTGAGGAGGGTGCCATGGAATACACACGAGTGAAGCTGCACAATTGTTTTTTCATGTAACCTGCTTTCCTTGTGGGAGCCCTTAGGTAATTGTGGCACTGTAAATTCAAACTGTTAGTTTGCCCGTGCTGCCCCACACAGTAACCCCTTCAGCTGTCTGAGCCTTCGTGTATTCCAGGCGGGATCACATACCAGGCTCCTTCAACCTAGAACATGTTCGATTTGAGCAGAGTATAGCTGGAGATGTATATGGTACTGGACATATACTAAAGAGCATGTATGATATTAGGGACTTGACAGTGGGCTGAGTCTCTGACCTCTGCTGCCAAAATAGATGCTGTGGAGGAAGGAAGGGACACCACATTGTTAACCAAGCTGATACTGGAAATGCCTGCAAACAGCAGGTGGTATTAAAGACATGAGAAGTTTGCAGTAAAACTGAATGAGATAGAAAAGCAAAACTGAAGGGAGCCTAGAGTTTGCAAAATGAGATAACATTTCATATCTTGAAATATAAAGTTACTTTTACCAGAGGCTTTGAGGAACTTATGAACTAAATCTAACAGAGATCTTTATACAGGAGCAATTTTATTCCACAGATATCCCATCCTCTCATCTATCTTCTTAACCTTCCTCTTGTGTGATACCTCCCTAGACTTCATTTTACAGGTTGATAACAAGAAGGCTGTTGAATTCTTGAAGAGATGGTAGCAGAAAATGGCCTCCGGTCACCAGCATCCAGAAAATGGATGCAGAGGTCCTACTTGTAGGAAAATTACTCTTCCTTTGCATTTCCCTGGGTTTTACTTATTTTTAATAACACGCAGGTGTTGGAAGACTCAGGCTACTGATGGCTTTGGATATATTTTGTTAACAGAAGTAAAAAGCTTTATCAACTATGTCAATGGCAGCTATTCAGAAGATGAACTGGAGATCATGACCATGATCAAAAAAGGCAGTGAAGTTGCAAAGAAATATACATCACAAATAAGCAGGGGGAAAAAGTATCTGAAACCAAGTTCTTTTTACTGGTACACACGTTCCTCAGGACTTCAGCTGTAGCTACATGAATTGAGCTGTCGGGTTTTAACACTAAATCCCCACAGAGGCTGGAAGTCACATGCTTTTCCATATCCATGAGAAAAAGAAAGCAACTTGTGTGGCACCAAGCTTAAGCTTTATGTCAGCTTGCATCTACCCACAATGTACTCTATAGATGTGCCCTCTGGTGTAACTGATCGCACACACCTAAGTAGCCTTCACTTTCTCATCTACCCCTACTGCATGAGACCTCAACAGCCATCCTCCCATGTCAGGGACTAATATTGCAAATGTTCCTCTGTGCCAGGATTCCCGTTTGTCCCTTCTGGCATGGGATGCATGCCCTTTCCCTCCAATGCTCCTTGCCCCCTCTGCATCCCCTACATTGTCTGCTTCTACACCATACTGGAAGCCCCCCAAAGGTTCTGTTTGCCCCCAGCTTGTCATTTCTCTTCTTATTCTGTCAATTCATGGACCTCATTTCTTCTGCCCACCAACCCCATAGCGCTCCATTTCCCTCTCACATTTTCCCTTCCCCTTTGATTTGTTTCAAAAGAAATGCATTTCTGGTTCTTGAGAAAACATTTTCTTGTATTTTCAAATTAATTAGATGGGATGTTAACAATTTTTCATGTCATAAACAAACCCTCAAGAAGAGTGTAAAACCTCATAGGGTCAAACAGCAAAACCACTCAGTCTGATTTATTAACTTTTAACACATTAGGAACAGATCGATTATGTATCAATAGTGTAAGAAAAGCTTCTTGAAAGGGAAATCAAAGTGCTATTCCCTGTGGGAAGAGCGAATAACAGCATTTTAATTGTCTTGATTAAAGTTAGGGACTAGAAGTAGGTATTTATTTTCTGTGCCCATCTTGTTCATGGACCTGTCATATGAGTTTGAACAGGGCATTATAACTTTCTGTCTCAGCTTGTGCTCTTACATCAGATAAAATTCCTTTGAAGCATATATTCTCTTAATACTATTAATGTTAGAGAAGGTGAACACTTGTCTTTGGATCTATCTGAAAAGTCATGAAAAAAACAATATTAGAGTACTTACAAAACACAGAGACACAAGACTCCCTTCATGCTTTCACTCTCTCGTACTAAGTAGCTACCATTCTTTCCCTTGCTCATCAGTTCTTCACAGGTTCTTCTTGTTATCTTTCCATGAAAAAATGAGAGCTCCATGATCAAAAGAAAACAAGGTCTCTTGCCTTCCAAAGCAACTCCAGAGAAAGTCAGGAGCCTGGCATTAAAAGAAGCCTTAGTCTAAAAGCAGCTGACTGCAGGCAGCCAGCATTTGAGGTACATACATGAGTTCATCTGTGTTGTTATCACTGACCAGTGAAATCTGTTACTGGCCTGAGCTTACAGATCACGAATGCAGTGAAGGCAGGAAATGGGAAATCGTTTGTGTGCACTGGTCACAGTCCACATGAGAAGGGAAGAGTCTTTTGTCACATTATATCAGCAGATGTTTGAGTTGTCTATCACGTTTCTAACCCGTGTAATAGGTAAATTGACACGTATATTTTTAAGAAGTAGATTTATATTTTTAAGTTAACTTTTAGGTTTAAAGTGGCTCAAAGCCAAAAAGGACAGGATACAGCCACATGTAGAACTGCTGCTCCCTGAGGGAGGAAATGCTGCCCAGCTCCACGGAACATGTTCTCCCAGGCATTTTGTAAATTCCCTGGTGGAAGCCATGGACCAGGGGAGGAGCACACATACCTGGAGAAGCAGGAGGCAAGGACCAGGCTGAGCAGTGTTTGTAAGGGAAAGCAAATTGAAAGAGGACATAAAGATGTGGGGGAAGTAGTGGTTCAGAGGGCAAGAACGGCAGGAGAGAGAGAATCCTCAGAGGAGAAATACGGCCCCTGCAATACAGCCCATCCTTGAGGTCAAAATGGAGCCCAGATAGACAAGTGCTGGCACTGGCAAGAATCTTCCTCATTTCAAAACATGCTATTTGCACATTCACCTCCCAGCTCTCCCACCTAGGGCCACCTCTTTATGAGCTATGAAGCTGTATCATGATGTGTCATGATTTCCCTGCTGCCAAGTTGTGCCCAGAGGCAATGACCCCATCACTTCTGTTCAAGATCTGGCACCACTGCTGCCACGTACTCCATTAGTACTGGTGACATTGTCCCCACGCAGTGCAGTTCCAGGAACCGCCTTACTGATGATCCACACAGAAGACAAGGGGATGCCCAAAAATGACATTGTGATATTTCCTGCTTCTTTTTCACAAATCCTCCCCCATTCCACAACACTCCAAGAACCTTGCGAAGTACTCAACAGTTAGGTTATGGCCAAGCTACAGCACGCTGCTGGCAAAATCTCAGTTCTCCTCCCTTTGTGCAAAGGAAGTAGGATAAAGGATTAGGTGTGATGGTAGGAGTGATGTCTTATGACACTTAGTTCGTCTGTGTGTCATACACCTCACTAAAGCCATACCTTGGACTATGCTACAGGAATAACTCAGGACTGTATAGGGAAGGGAGAAGTTAACTATAGGAACTCTCGTCCTTTTTGTTCACAATTACTAAGTGAATTTGAGAAAAGAAAATGAGTGTTTGTGATCCCCTGATCATCTCAGTCAGGAAGCCATGGAAAGCTCCAGGAAAGCCTTGGCAATCCTCTGTTCATGCAGAGGTTTAAACAGAGGTGACCAAAATAAGCTGTAGAACAGCAGAAGGATTTTAGTAGAGAAACAAAGTGTGAGATACAGTGAGCAGTGGCATCCTGACCACAGGGTGCTAAATACTGACACAACACTAGCAGGCAAGAGCAGCAATATTGTATGTGCAGCTGTGACTTTCATGTTTCTTAGTCTGACAACTTTATACATACGAAAATCTTATATTATTAGCATGTTTAACTGCAAAAGTTAATCACGGATGACAATAAGAGCATTTCCAGATGGCATCTTAGTTCAGGTATAAAGCAAAAAGGTTCACCTTTGTGTCAAAGACATTTAGAGAGCTAGAAAAAAAGGCTCCCCTAAGAGAAAAGCCTAGAAATGGCAACTCCAGGGTGAAGGGAAAGCTGAGGTCTGTACTGCAATGACCACAGGCTGCCAATAAAACAAGTCCCCATCCCCAAGGGGATAGTGAGAGTGGGGGGAAATATTCCTCTCTCACCATGCAAGTGTTCTTAGAGGCATGTGGCAAAGGTTCTTCTTGTTATCAAACACACCTTTATTTTCCTACAGGTTAAAACTGTGGTTTTTGTCTACTCATCTTATGAACAAAAGATTTGCATGAGGTATTGTGATGTGAATGACTCTTCCAGAAGCCCAGCCCTGCAAAGCAGGAGGAGCAGCAGCTGCTCAGCCCCAGTGCTGCCCCACTTCAGGTAGGTTCTCTCTCCTCTGCCTTGAAAGTAAAGCAGATAGGCAACAACTTCAAATTCCTCTTTCAGGAAGGTAATGACTACACGTTCTTCACAGTTTTCCCTAAAGACCTCATTAGGCAGTTGCTGAAACAGAAGACAGTAATTTCAGTAGATCTTGCAGGTCTGAAACTAGAAGTTACTTAAAGGGAGAGAGCAGCAACATTCTGCCCACTGATTGCTCAGTAGAGTGCTTCTCTGATGGCAAAAAATCCTAGAGAGGGAGAAAGTGCCTGAGCAGAAATGGGGGTTGGGGGCTCCTTTCCGCAGCAGTCACCATCCATAGTGTTGACCCCCTTCCTCCTCAGGCAACACCAGGTTTGGTTTTGCCTGGCCTTTTCCTTTCCATGGCAGCTGCAGTGTTGGCACCAGTCCTTAAGTCAGCAGGCTTCTGTTTCATCAGTGCTCTTCACTAACTTGGAACTAGCTCTGGGAAAGAAAGATATGGTGAGGTCTGAGCTGATACTGAGACCCAGGCAAAGGGCATCAAGCACGGGGAAGCAGGGAGCAGGGTCTCTGGTGAAACCATGCCAGTGGCAAGCAAAGCATGAAGAGGGGATTCTGTGTGGGGCAGCAGGAGCAACAACTGGGGGGGACTGGAAGAAACAGAACAAGGAGCGAGACAAAATAGATGGAGAATCAAGAAAGAAGCTGTAAATATGGTCTGGTCTGTCACTAAACCACAAACATGAATTTGGTGGCCAGGCACAGGAACTCCACGTTGTGTCTTGCATGCATACATATATTTACATATATATGCTTTGCTCTGGCACTATGGGCTAGTTCAGGGCAAAAACGCAAGGCTCTGGCAAAGACAAAACAGGACTTGCAGATTGCAGCCTGGCATACCTGTGTAAATACCTGGAAGGCTCTGGGAGATGTCCCTTTCAACCACCACAAACCTGTGCCATGCGCTTCACCATGACTTGTACCACTCAGTATCAAATCTTCACCATGTATGCTGGGATCACATAACTGTATCTCTGTGGGCCAGTTTTAGCTGTAAACTCTGAGCAAGCATTTCCTAACAAGTATTTCTGGCTTAACAAATTTAGCGAGTATTTTTGGCTTTCAGGAACCTGTGTACCCAGCCTGTGTCTCAGGAGTGGTCAGAAATAGGAGGTGGTGGTATTAACTGCAATGAAATCTGTGTATATTTCAGTTTATAGGCCAGGGAGATGGAGAGAGGCAGCAACACTGGATTTCCTCACCACTGTTCACTGATAGAGACTTCTAGACTGCCTGATGTTAAGGGAGGCTCTTGTTTGAATAGAAAAGAACTAGCAGGGTTGCTGCCTACATGACAGCTAGGAGCAGAGTCTTTCTCGGTGAATTATCCCATGCAGGGATACTGCATGACGTAATAACATTTGTGCATCTGGAATAGAGATAGGGCTTCTAGTCAGTGCAAAGGAGCCCTTTCCTGCAAGCTGCTGTAAACCTGCCTGGTGAAAACCACAGCAGGCGAGCGTGGTCTTGTTTCTCACCTACAGCTCGTTCTCATGTTGGCTACGTTTGTAGCAGTGACAGAGTTTGAACCCCCTCAGATTCATGCTGTGGATGGTTTGTGACAATAGGGGCTTTTCACTGCGGAGGCAAAAAAAGACCAAGAACTGCTCCAGGTTCCGTTCACCTTCTGATAAGAGGCCTGGGAAGGCAGAATGGCAGTGATGCCCTGAGACAGTGGGGCTTGAGATGTTGAGCCAGTCACACCAGGCTGAGCCTCTGGGAATTACCAGGTATATCCTAGCTACACTAATCCAAACTGTTGCTGTTGTGAATCTTATCTTAAAATCATTTTACTCTGCTCCAAAGTAGGATCAGGTTGGTTTTTTTCCTCCTCATCCACTGCAGGAGGTCACAGTTCCTAGGATAGCCTCCTGCCTCAAACAGAATGAAACCTTTTCATTAGAAGAGCAGATTAGTTACTCTTGCTGTTACAGAAACAAGACCTGCAACGTTCTGGTAGCAGGGCCAAGCCCTGGTTGGCCATGTATCTGCCATACTGCTACCTTTACGCAGTTTCAGTTTTGCCTCCTGTTAAGGGCCTTAGTGGGGCCTTTTCATTGCGACACCTCATAATAGCATGCACATTTGGAGCTCTGGTTCTATAACCTGTCCTTGCTGCAGCTCTAGCACAGCAAAGCTCTCGAGCGTGCCCTTTGGAGGAAGACCTGGGTTGCTTGACAGTACTGAGGGTTAAGTGTTCAGTGAATAACTGAGGAGGGTGTGGGAGATCAGGGTTCGACTGAAAGCTGTCATCAAAAGCAGCTAAAAGCAAAGCCGGTGTGCATGAAAACTATAGTGCATAAAATAGGAAGCTGAAGGGTCGTTTGTGTTCTGACCACGTAACAAGATAGACAAGATAAGAAAACAAGAAGCAACCCAAATACTAGCTAAGTCTCCTTCCTGAAAATTCGAGTTCTCATTGAGCTGTGCCACTAGGCAGTTACAATACTTTGGCTTACTATACAAATGGAACCAACAGAGGGTTTTGCACAAGTACAGTTACAGTAACAAAAGAGGCTTAATTGTGAAAGAATCGCAACTGTAGCATAATATCTACACCCGCTTGTACTTTTGCAGCGTATTGTACCTGGGTGCAAAGGGGGTTTGATACTTGTTGATGGCAAGATTTACTTTAGACTAAAAGAAAAAGCATTATGTAAATGCAGGAAGAAACTTTGTGTGTCTATTACTCACTGATTACTGCTAGAGCTGTCGGCGCAGTGCCAGAACAATTCCCCAAGGCTCCAGAGCTCTGCTGTTAGCTTTCTAATCAAATGTAAACCTAAGAGGAAAAGAATGATTTGTAACCCTCTCAACATAGTGTCTGCTTTTATAAATACAGGTAAATTGAAAACGATCCTTCCAAATGTAAACTCCTCTGTGCTAAAAAACAGGATTAAAAATTCATAGAAGCAAACAATTACAAAAGGTTATAAAATACATGAGTATGTGTAATAGTGGGGTTTGGTCTTGAAATTGCCTAGGATTTGCCTAAAAAAATTGACTTGCAAGATAAAGTCCCAAAATAACATTTTCCTTCTCACCGGCAGCCCTGTTGTCAGGGATGTCTGATCTGTATTTGATCACTCCTTGGGCTTATAGGAGTTCCAATTTTGTATTTAAATTAATACACTTCTTGGGGAAAAAAATGATAGAAAACCTGAAAACTGAACAAAAAAATGGTTCCCTTGCTTTCAGAAGTGTTTTCAGCGTTTTTAAACTGAAGAAACTGGTGGCATAAAGTGGCCCCTCAAAGAGACCTTGGCGCCTCCTGAAAGACTTTGATCAGCCAGGGGGAAGAGATGCTTGAGGGGTGTGGAATCCCACTGGCATTGGACATTTTAGCTACTGTGCAGATGCAGAGGAACAATTCAGGCTGACTGGAAGCACATTCCAGGTGCTAGATGCCACCGAAATCCCACTGTAGGCCTCAGTGAAACACCAGTTCCACCAGGAAAATGATTTACTTGAAGTTCATTCAATCCATCCTAAATGGCATAGATCTTTGGGAGCAGAACACTTCAACATTCTTGTAACAGGCCTACACTACTGTGATAACACTGTCTTCAAGACATAGAAAGCACATTTGTTTCCACAGAAACAGCTCCCTACCCCTGTTTAACAGTCACGATGCACGTAAACCATAATACACCCTGATAATTCAGCTCCTGTGACAGCACTGGTCTCAAATACCACATAATTAATGAAATGCAGTAAGAAGTCAGTTCACAATATCCCCAAAATTCTGCCTTTCTATTAAGAAATGTGCAAATAAAGCTGTGAGAGATGACAAACCCCACTTACCCTTAATCACATCTATATATTTCTGCTGCGTGCTACATCAAATGTAACTCCCCTCTAAAACTGTCTTTGGTAGTTTTTGTCTTACTATTTGACAAGACTCTGACTAGGGTGTCCATGTGAGAATGCCCACCTCTTCTATTGAGCCTAAGAGCATCATGTTGGCAGCTTACTATTAACCTGTGAAGGCACCCCCTTGTCTCAGTGAGAAACATTCCCCCTAACCCCTAGCTGGTCTTCTACTAGTTTTCATTATTTTGCAAAGAATTAGACTGAGATTTAAGAAACCAGATTAGAATGTAGCTCTTGAGCCAAAATTAGCTCTTCTAGATCACCAGGTTAGTTAGCCAGCCTCTGCTCTCTTGACATAAATTAGTAGACGCCAACATTTATCAAGGGCTTTAGGTTTTTACAGCAGACTTGGATTTGAACTGCTGAGCCAGGCAGGAACTCTTTCCATCACTTGATTAAGAGGGGAAGAAGAAAGGACCTGAACTATGGCAGCACAGCTGTACCTGACTAACTCTTGCTGATGGAGTTCTCAGTTCTGTTTCATTTTGACTCCCTTTGGCAGAAAAAGCTTCCCACTGCTAGTGTTGCTACTATCAAATTCATATTCAAACCCAAATGCTCCATCTCACAGCATGAAAGCTGTGTGAAATGATTCTCTGACTCGGTGTCTCCGAAAATAACTCCACCACACTGGTTAAATTAATCATTAAGAACAAAGCTAGAATGAAAATTAGCAGTATGAAAACTTGAGTTTTTCTTTGGAAATTAGGGAGTTTATCAGCAAAGCTCACTTAACTCCTGTAGAGGAGAGAAGGATAAGAAAATGCGATCACATAAAGACTGTTATAATCTATGTATATAGATGTGCTCCATTAAAAAGTAGCAAAATAAATCTTACCATGCAAGTTTCCCAGTGTCTCAGCTCTTTGCTCTTCAACCTGACATGCTGGTAGTATGCTTGGCAAGCCCTTCCTGGTGTGTTTTGTTGAGTCTGCCCTACTCGCAGCTCACTGCCTCACTTCTGTGATGTAGAGAAGACATCTGTTTGGGTATGAATTCACAAGGACCTTGGTTCTCACCTATGAGGAAAAAAAGTGTAAGACACCACTGAAAATAGATGCAAAATCCCCCAAATGCTCACTAACTGGAGTAAGGACCAAGCAAAAGGAAATGCACTGCAGAAACTCTCCAGTTACAAACTGCAAGAGCCCCAAGAGCAGCCCTGACGTGGTGTGGCTGGCACAGCTGTCAGGGGCCCTGGGTGCCCCCAGGGGAGAGCAGCCAGCACCACGGGGCTGTTTTCAGTCGAGGCCCATCAGGACACACTGGTCCCAGCAGGACCTGCCTGGTCCGAGCCTGTCCCCATCGCCATGGAGCAACTCTTGAACAGCATTGTAAAACCATACGAGTGGAACATCTGGATTTACACCCAAACCAGGTTTTACCCAATTTGAGTATTATTCGTCTCAAACTGAAAAGTGATTTTTAACAGACCTATCAGCAAACTATCAGGTAGATCTGGTTTCCTGTGCTCTCCCCAAGAGAGCCCAATTCGACTCCTCTGCTCCACAGCCCTTGCTCTTTACTACATGCTGGGCATTTTGTTGCAGCGTGGAGTTATTTCTTGACTACTGAAGAATACAGAAGGTCTCTCATGCTGATTTGCCACATTGAAGTGCTCTGTCAAACTGAAAGGAGCTCGGTAGTTTTCCTCAAAAACTTCCATAAAATAACACCTTGCTCAGCTTCTTACAGGCAAATATTCAGTGCTTACGTTTCATATTGGGCAAACAGCAGGTAGACTTTGGCTTTAGAAAGGTACTCAACCGCTAAACTTTAGGCCCCCAAAACACAGGAGAGATTCCTTTCATAAGAAAGGGAAAGATACGGGAAAGAAACCGTATCTCTGGATAATGTTATGGAATTTGGCCACTTATTTGTTTTTGAACTGTGACTAAATTATGCATAAAAACTAAGAAGGAACCAACAAGGTAACTGGCATAAAACAACAAAACAAAGAGATCTCCTGCCTATGTTAGTGCATTATAATTAAGCAATGCACATCCCTCTACATATCTATCGAAAGGCAGAGAGTGTTTTTTACTGCCATTCTAAGGCTTGCCCTATGAAGGCATACGAAGGGACATGATCCGTACTTGAGATTGAGCTCAAGATACTTCCTCAGGGCTCCCTTGCATAAATTCTTTTGACTGGGTCATGCTGTCATTTTGTTTCCCCTTTTTCCATTTCACTCAGCTGAGTTAAATGAGAAAAAAGGAAGGCTCTTTCTTATCATCATGGGAAAGAGTCGAGTTATTGGGTACATGGCACTCAGTGTCTGGTGGTGACTGATAACCCCAACTGCACTGCATCCCTTTTGCTTGGACTTTATTCCTTGGATTGAGGACTGCAGCAGGATGCTAAGGCCAGCCCTGCAATTTCAGTATGTCCCATTTTCATGGAACAATTCTATTCTTGTATAAAGTGAAAAGAAACCCCAAACAGATTCTTACCTGTGAAAGAACAGGAACAAGCCAGCAAAGCAGGGTTTTGCACACCCAGCTCAGCACGGTTCCTCCAGAGCCATCACTGTGACGGTGCAGGAGGAGCAGGGCTGCCATTGGGCTTGCACAGCAACTGCATGAACAAAAAAGCAGTGGTATGCTCTTTATCACAGATTTCCTTTGGCTCCACGATCCTGGAATGCTCCCAACACAGACATTCGCTCAGCCATTTCAGGAAGGGTAGAGACTTACTCTGCGTGGTGATCACCTGGCAAACCCAGGGATGCAGATATGCACAATTGCTCTTCCTGGAGAAGGGTGATCCTGGGCTGGCTGTGGCAGTCGTCAAGCTCCTCTCACTGTCCTGCCTTCATTTCCAGAAGGGAAAGAACCCTTTCATGAGACAAAACCAACAGAGTGAGAGCAGGATATGATAGCTAAACACCTTCACATGCTCATGCCCGGAGCAACAAAACCGCATGGTCTCCCTTTGCCAGGAGAAGAGCAACTTCTTCAGGAAGATGTAGAGACTTACTTTTGGGAGACATGAGGGTCCAGATATGCCCAGTGTTGCCTGCCAGTGGTTTTCCTTCAACCCACTTCGTCATTGTTATCATGCAGTTACCCCATCTCCATTTATACTGTTGAAAAGGGAAGAAAAAATAGCTGTTAAACTTGCATGGTATGAAAAGACGACACATGTATTCAAGCATCTAGTGTAAAGTACCAAATTGGGAGGGATGGGGACAATCGTCATCTCAACTTTAAGGTAGCTTTACAGATACTGAGAAGAGCTGGATGTTGGATTGCTAGTACAGTGGAATTGCTGGGCTTCCCTATGTAATCTATAATTCCTCCCAGGGCTCCAAACCTTCCTTCCCCTTCTTCAAAGCACGGAGAATATGAAGTGTAAGCACAAATAACAGCACCTCTGTGGTCCCGAGTGCTCTTTTGAGGATTGAATGTTTCTATCTTCTCCACAGAGACATAACCAAACTGATTTTGGATGCCTGATGGAATTACACAAACTATGGCCATGGATGACCTACCTATGACCATGTTGCCTAGCTCCTGGTGCTGGCTCTTCACCCTGAGGCCACTGGAATTCCAAGCTTTCTGACAGCCACAGGTGATTGTTCATAGGGGCAGATCTCTGCACACATTACAGGTCTCAGAGAAATTCCGACTAGCCATTAATGAAACCTCTTGGATTTAACTGAAACCCCCCAAACCAACCCCAAACCACATTCCTTCTCTCCATTGCTCATCCCAGATTGTTAACCTTGGTCCTTCTGGTATAGGGTTTTTGGGCAAGCATTTGTTCCGCACAGATTACTTAGAGGAGCAGAAGCAACACTCCCCAGACACTCGCTTCACTGTGCCTGCAGCATTCCCTTCCTTGTAATAGCCGTGAAGCTGCCTGCTTGGAAAGAGCGCGTTAGCCAGCACTGAGCAGACAGGCTTCCCAACACAACTCCTGCTACGAAGGCTGGAAATGCAAAGGGCTTCCTACCTGATTCCTACCCCCCTCCCTGCTAAAGACAGCAAGGGAGAGGATATGCCACCTGCATTGGCTTGGAAGTTCACCAGGATTACCTTGCATGCCTTCTGGTGTGTAACATCACAGCTGCAGTTCAGGTTGCAAGTCCTTCAGGGATAGGATTCGACTGTCAGGTTAGTTTTGTTTAAGCCTGCTTGCACCAGTCCCCAGCCTACTTTGCTTTCTCATATTCAGGTTTCAGGGGGAAAAAGAAAAAATCAGGTTTTAAAAAACCCCATAAAAGCAAATGATAGGCCCGTGTTCAAAACTGTATCATAATAACCACAAAGCAAGGCATTGTTTCAGTGAAAAGCAGTGTTCTCAAGGAGTAATGTGTGAAACGTTAAGTATGACAACAAAGACTTCTCTGTTCTCCAGGACCTGAAAGCTGTTCAAATCCGTATGTGGTCTGTAGATGGCACTGTGACTCTGTATAACAGTGAATCTAAAGCGAGCAACCTTAACGAAGTGTTTGCGTTGCCAATTGGATAAGAATTCACAGCTGCCAAGTGACTAGTTTCCAGTTCTTCATATATCAGATGTGTAATAATAGCTGTATTTATGGTGCTTATTTACTTCTTGGGTCACAACACAAGCTTGTCCTTTGCAAGATACCCTCTTCAGTTGTTCCACAGTTAATACTGAAATCCAGCCAGCTGGGTACAGTTATATGTTCTTTCCTAAGTAAAGTGAATTAGCTCCTTAGGGTCTACCATTCAGTCCCTGTACTCTCAGGATGTAATATGTATAGCCAGGTTGTTATGTCAGATTAGAATCAGTGTGAATAGATCAGTGTTGTGATCAACCACTGTTTCATTCCTAGCCATCATTGTGCTAAAGGCACGGAGAGCTATATTATCCAGTGCCTTAAGTCAGTAGAGGTAATATTTCTTCTGCTTCCAGAGCAGAAGTGAACATCTTTTAAGTGTTAAAATGTAAATCAACTTTCCAATCTACATTACTAATCAGAACCGATAATTGCAGAAACACTAATGTAGGTGGTGGGTGATGCAGAAACAAGGCAAGTTCAAGATCACAGGGATCTGTATTATCAGAGAGATTGGGATTTAGGCACCTCCTGATTTATATTGATAAAAGCCTCTAACATTTCCTTAATGGAAAGCAGCATGATAGCTGTCATGATGAAAGATCAGGCTTAGCATCCTGGATAATTATTCTGTGTGTTTGGGCTGCGGTTGGATATCAGCTCTAAGAACATTAAAGAATTAAGATGAGAGAACAGAGTTTTCTACAAAGAAGCTTAAATCTGTTCCGACCCGCAGAGATAACCAGTGCATTATATAACCATCTTTCATTTTTAATGGATACTTTTAAACAGGGGTATGTCTCTTCATTATGTGAGCACACTGTGCTTCAACAGGAGCTACAGACAAATGTCATAATGAAGACAACAGTAGGAATAAAGTCATCACATAAAAATGACAAAGTTCTCTGTGGTCACATACCAAGCCTAAACTGTTGCGCCACTCACTCACTGTGCTCCTGCACGGCTATGCGTCTTTGCTTACTTCAAGTCAAATGTCTCCAATTTGCACAAGGATGATTTCAGTGCTATGAAACCAAGGAGAAGCCTAAGAAAAGCCCATGGTGCCACACCTGAGCCAGTCAGTTCAGTGTCTGTCAGCCAAAGCAGGGATGCAGGTTGTGTTCAGACTTGGTGATAGTGATTTCTTAGCACAGCTGGCAAGCAAGACAGTAAGAGGACCAGGAGAAATAAATGATCCCAACTGAATTCCATTCAGTCCTAGACAAATCTCTCCATGTAGCTAGGTTTTTTTCACAATACCCAAGAGGGACCAGAGACCTTTATGGTATAAGGATAATCCGTACAAATATGATAAATAAATACTGCCAACTCATAATTTGATGTTTCAGATTGCAGTGGGAAAAAAAGAGATACACCAACTCTATGCTATAATGAGGGCATTTCTGAAGGGATTAAGGGATGAGAAGCTTTAAACTACATAAGTAGCAGTAACATTTTAAAAAAGCAAGGTCCCTCGACCTTAGCATT